ATTGATAAAATCTATAAATGGGAAATGATAATAATAAGAACTGCTTCTAAAAATAGTAGTAAGATTAATTTTATATGGATGTTATGGTTTAAATAAGCTGAAACTCGATGGTGTTTTTGAATGTGTACTTCTCTGGGCTTATATCAAAATGTTTCATTACCAAATTAACTTCTATTACCCAATAATATAGAAGATGATAAAAATTTATAAAGTCTTATTTTGTAAAGTTTGTTTTTGTAAGACATAAGAAAAGGAGCTCCAGTAAACTTGGTGAATCACTTTTCTAACATATAAAAAGAGGAATCCAGTTATACATGATTAATATAAAAACATCTACCTTTCTGTGACCTACAGGCAAGGCATTTGGTACCCTTTTTATTTGAATCAAAGCTAAAACAGCACTGATTTTTATTCTTTTTTTCCTCCTTCTCTCCTCAGAAGATTTAGTCCAAATGATTTGAAAGTTCTTTCATCCTCTGAGTAACTACTGCCTGCTTCAACCATGTCCTTATATATCTCCCTTATATATATCGTTATGTTGAAAATTTTCCTGAGATCCCTAAACTTGTGATCATCATCTCGCTATGCCCTGATAGATTCTTGTGAAATGGAATGAATTAATTCATGTGCCAGGTTCATTGTAGTCAGTTTGGTACATCCTCTCATGCTCTCATCCCCTCACTTGGGAAATGTCATGGAAAATGCCTTCTGAAATGCTAAATCCTTCTTTCTCAGGTTCATTTGAATTCAACTGGAGCTTCTGGAAGCTAAGCAACTGTTGAAAATTAAGCAATTAGTCTGCATGCTTAAGAAAACAACATCCACCATTATGGCTTATATATTATTCTGATATTATTGATCTGAACTGTTTAATTAATACTTGCAAATTCATTAACAGAAATAAATTATTTTCAAACCATACCAAAATTTATTGAACTCTTCATCTGAGAAATTCTGATATGACAGTGAGATTTAAAAGGAAGATATTGTGGTTTACATAGCAGAGTGAGCATGATCGATGTTAATGTAGAAGATTAATGTCCTCTGTTTTCCTTTTTTTGTCTTTTTGGTTACCAAAACATTGTGTGGTTCCTTTGAAAAGTAGCTGAGGTTGGGGGAAATGCTAGTAATTAGAGAAAGGGTAGTTAGTTGCTGAAGCATCTTCATATTTTAGAAGGGTAAAGTTCCATGAGGGAAAAAAAAATACTGTAAAATTGCAGAACAGAGAAATGCTCATAATATTGTGTGTTGTTCTGTCCTCTGTGAAAGTTACTTTAAATTAAACTGAGCAAATGTTTTGCATCTTTAAGTGTTCTGTTCTCAGTGAACCATACTCAATACTAAAACCTCTACTTGGTGATAATACTCTAACACCTATAAGTCTACAATGGTCCTCACAGGATTCCTTTTAAGAAATTATTCCATTTTTCTACAGTTATGTAATGGTTTATGTATGTTACAGTGAGAGAGAGATGATACAGAAAGCACTGGAAGTAATTTGAAGTGAGCCTTTTTTGAAAGCTCACCCCTTTTTCATTGGAAAGCTAGATGGATAATTTAAACTACTCCTAGATCTGCTATAGTCTAGCTCAGTTCTGTTATTTACTGTATATACATTTACAAAAACAAATTTCTAGAAATGACTGGATTACTTTAGAGCTCAGTTCTAATACGATAATCTACACGAGTATGTTAGCTCCTCTTAAAAATGTTTTTCAGCTATGGAGTATTAGAATCACACATTTTGTGGGTTTTTTCATACAGGCAAGAACCTAATCACAGGGCTCTACACACAGATCTTTAGGCAGGACTGTTGTTGCACAGTCGTTTGATACAGCGTGTGGTTTTGCATCTGCTTTTTGGGCTATTATGAGCATTTCTGATGTGTATTTAAGTCACTTAGCAGCTCCTAACTAACTTTCAGCATAATTTGAAAGCTTTTGGATATGCAACGCCTGAACTCTGCTTGTATGAATGTTGCTGCTTCCCTGGGGGAATACAGGTCATAAAGCATGCAAGAGGAGAGGATAAAGCACTTCCAGCTGAAGAAATCTGACTGTAGAACAACCTTATAGAACAACCACCCACTTTCTTTTTTCCTTTGCTGAGCATCTTAATCAGTGGCAGTCAGGGTATCAAATATAATAAATGGATATGGCAGCCAAGTCGTGCATTACTTTGATATCTGTTGCCTTTCCTGGCCAGAAAATACAAGGCAGTTTGGAACACTTGCTTGGGAGGACAGTGGGGTAAATGGTGATCTGGCCATCTTTAGAAAATATTGAAAAGTTTGAACATCTTTGAGAAAGAGAGCCCTCAGGAAGACACAAACACATAATTTTAACTTTTTTTATTAATCCACATCTCTACCCAGGCATAATTCTGTGCCTATAAATGGAAAAAATGTAGCATTAGGGATTTAGTTATTGCAGGCAGCTTGGTGGACTAGTATCACTCGGCAGCGATTTAAAAATCTAAGATAGCTGTAAACTATAGGAACGTTTTTGGCAGTATATACATAAAATCCCCAGACAAGGTAAATTAAAAAAGCTTTATGTAATACAGAGATATTTTACATGTCCATCCATAAACCTTAACTTAAATGGGATTATGATTTGTTTTTCTGTTTTCCTTTTCACTTGGTTATTCCTCTTTGTATGTAATTTAGTGAAATAGCTAAGACACGTTTCATTAATGAACAATCTAACAAAGCAATTTCACGTTGTTAGAGTCAGTTGATTTAGTGATTAATGTATTTGTTATGCTTGCAGATGAAAAATACATTTATATAGTGTAAACTAACGACCAGTTTACTTGGATGCTGATACAAATCCTTTTGCCATTGTGGTTTCATAGTTTATAAACAGTGAATTAAATGTCAGTGACTTTATTATTGAGGAAAAACATGAAGTTTGTAGCATGAGTGAAACACTGTATGATTTGCCAAAGTAGAAAAGAGTGGCTGAAACTATATGACGAGACAAAGATAGTTAGTCCATGTCCAAGTTGATTATTTCCATTTTATGCCCAGCTTGAGCCTTGTGGAGACAGTTTTTTTTCAGTCTCTGCTATTTTTGTGTTCAATAGGTAAGAGTTTTATTGATTTCACTGAACTTATTTCTCAAATGAGGTGTTCTGGATTAGAAGCTCAGCATAGATACCCTCTTGCCAAGTTTGCATTCCTAACAATAATGACTTGCACAAGATAGTCAAATTTTGCAATCTGTCTTGTTGGTCCCTAGTAAGGACAGTGATACACATTTAAAACATTACCCTGGGGCAGTTAGGTCTTGGCCTTAATCGAAAACACCTTATTTCATGTGGACATAAAATTTCTACATCTCATAAATATTTAAAAAAAAAAAAAAAAAAGGCAGGGGGAGAGAAATCACTGCTCCAAAGTGTTGAAATTATATTAAAGTCATTGTAAAAATTATTTATACTGTGACTCAGATTCCAAAGTCACTAAGGTACTTTGAAAATTTAGTTTCAATTTTTTTTTTCTGGCATGGTTTCAAGCTGATTTCTTGCTAGTCTTTTGCCTCCTAATGCTGCATTCACTGTACTGAACTAAAGGAGTTGCACTGGAGTTTTGTATGGAGAAATGTGTCCAAGTTGATTTTGTGGTATAATGTCGCTTTATCCCTTGATTATTAATGGTGAAAAGTTGCTTTCCTGTTTGATCTAGAAACAAAGACAGCAACACTATGCTTTACAGATTAGTGAGTGATAAGCTGTTTTAAAATCACATACGTAACTGAGTAGCATCATTGATAAGTATGTAGTTGTGTCACAGTTATTTCTGAGATATTCTGAGTTAAAACTGAAATTGTTTCAAGATCTCTCGATATGTTTCAGGACACTTTTATCTTTAATGGTTCTATATTAGCAGGATAAAATGGGATCATAATGCTTTACAGTGCTATGACATCATCACATTCTACAACTTCCTCAAGGGGGCAGCGGAGGGGGAGGTCCTGATCTCCTCTCTCTGGTGACCAGTGATAGGACACAAGGAAATGGAAAGAAGCTGCATCAGGAGAAGTTCAGATTGGACATTAGGAAAAGGTTCTTCACTGAGAGGGTGGTCGGTCACTGGAACAGGCTCCCCAGGGAAGTGGTCATGGCACCAAGCCATGTCAGGGTTCAAGAAGCGTCTGAACAATGCTCTTAGTCATATGATTTAGTTTTAGGTACTCCTGCAAGGAGCAGGGAGTTGGACTCGATATGGGTCCCTTCCAAGTTGAGATATTCTATGATTCTATTGTTCATTTTGTTACTTAAAACAGACAATGCTGTCTTACTAGTAGAAATCCCCAATTAAGATTCATTAATCAGCTCTTACCTTGCTGGCAAAAGCAAAACCAAATTAAACTACATGATAAATGTTTCAAATAAACAACTTTTTTTCCCTTGTAAGTAATGTTGTGCGTCTCAGCACTCTCATTTGACGATTGGAACCTATTTAAGACAGGGTAATTAGTTTCTCTTTGACAAATACCAGCAAAACATGTTGCCACCTAGGAAAAGACAAATGGCCTTCAATTCCCTGAATTAGGCATCCAAAAATTCCCTGCTTTTTGTCTGCTTAATTACTGGAAAAGCTAAGACTTGCTAGGTATGTCCCTGTGAGCTCCATAGGTACCTTTGGTTGCAGTTTTGTATGTGCTGTTAAGCCATATTCTAATCAAGAAACTAGAGAGCATGGAACTTTGTTTCGGGGTCCTGATACAAGTGCTCTGAATTTACTCTGGGCTATCTTATACTGTGCCCTGGGCTATTGTAGCAATACTGTGAGTTTTCAAAGTAATACTTAATTCAATAATCAGTCACGTTCAAGAATAGGTATGCCAGGCTATATTTTCAGAAATCAGTATTTTCAAAGACAGTCTAAAGTTTTTGTTAACAGAATATTATTTGATGGATTAGTATGAAAGTTTTTGCAAAACGAGCAATTCAAAATACTTCTTTTTTTTCCTTTTTTTTTTTCTTCACTCTAGACAATTGATTTAGAGGGGTTCAAGCTGTTCATGAAGACTTTTCTGGAGGCAGAGCTACCAGATGATTTCATTGAGCATCTTTTTACATCATTTAGCAACAAAATCTCTCACTGCAGCCCATTAATAAAAAACAAACCCCAGCACCTTTCTGGAGGTAAGTAATAAAATCACGGTAATATAAGAGCTGAAGGTTCCCTCCCTCTGCTATTTTACTTCTAATAACTATAAATATATGGAATTCTAAATAGGTATAGGTATTTCTTTTTTGTTCTGATATTTTTGAAATTGGAGAAACTAACTCAATCACGCACAAGAAATATTGTGAAAAGAAATGGAAATTAAGTGGTTTAATCTTTTTAATTCACAATAGTGATGCAGCTGAGACACCAAGTGGACAGTCTTTGTCTAATGCTAATCAGATTGCTATGGTTACATGATCTTGCTGCCTACTCTACTGTATAAACACTTAGAAACCTTCAGAGCATCATGCAGGAGGCTCCTGCTGGTGCTCTACAGTTTCTATACCCAATTACTGCTGCTTCTCTTAATTGTCTAGGTGTGATGCTGTTATTAGTAATCCTACATAATTATCAGGTACTGATATTTTAAATGTCCTATAAGTGTTAGAAGTATTTCTTTTCCCAATGTAAGGATTATCTTTAATGCAGTTTGAAATTTTCATGCTAAACTGAACATTTTTATTAAAAGTGATTTTGAGTTCTGAGGACATAACATGTTAAAATACTTCCATGCAAAATAGTGTTAAAAACTGTGAACTTACAAAATTTTATTAAACTTTTAAAGAAAATTTGGAGAAGAAATTTAAGGTTACCTTCCTGACTTGGTACTTTATTTGGTTTGGCACTTTAGCAATTTGGGAACTCTATCAAAATCCAGTAGCTAAAAGCAGAAGCTAGACTAATTTAATGAAATAAATTGCATGATTTGAACAGCTGGGATAATCAAGCACTTAGAGCTAAGTTACTAAATGGTTTGATGGGTATTTAATCGCTTGAATTCTGTATATGAAGATTAGGTGTCTTCAAATTGCAACTCATCCAGAAGTTGTGAATTTAGTACAAGTGCTACTAGCTGAAATGTCAGTTTTTCTGGCAGATACCAAGCACTAGATTTCCACAGATGCCTCAGTGTACAACACTAATTACAGGTTTTCAGATATCACCCATTGAATCTGACCTGTTTTTTGTCTTTAGTGGATGCCGTTCTCAACTATATTAAATAGATGGGTTTCAGTTATTTTTCTTTATTTAAATTTACAATACCTGTTATTTCCACTTCTTAGCTTTATATTTCCTGGCAAAAAACACCAAACAAACAAACCAACCAACCAAAACCACCATATCACATTATCGTCTTCTGTTATCTGTATGGTGTATATATTATGATTGTCATTAACTGTAGTTAGACTTAACTGAAAAATCTTTTTTCTGCTAGCAAAGCTTTCTTACCACATAGATGGTATGATTATTCACATATTTTTTTTTTTTCATTTGAATTGAATTCTTCAGGTATCTTTTTTATCCTTTCTAATCAGAACAGCCATGGACACATCTCCTTCCACAAATGTCTGCTGTGTAGACAGTACGTTTCCAACTTCTTGCGCTTTTGTTATCTAGACTGGTTCCATGTGCAGAGCAGTAGGCTTAGTAGACTGTGGTGTAATCAGTTGGGTGGAGTATTCAGAGCCTTTTGTTGCTAATTACAGCTCTGATAATGACTTACTCATGGGTTTGGGCAAGTCATTTAGACCAGTGATTGAGTCCTTTGCCCTTAAAGATGCTTTGCAACAGAATCTCTAAGGGCATGTCTAAATATATTCTTTATCGTATGCTGCGGAGTATATTTTGGGTGTCATAAATTTTCAGCATTGCATTTTTTTCTGCTGTGAATATAGATTCTGTTGCCTATAAAGTCTCAGCAGCGCCATTTCATTTCCACTGAAATTTTGAATTTTTCATTGAGGTTTTCGTCGTGTTTTCATCAATGAGTAGCATCAGCAATAAACATGCACTGTACCAGCCACCAAAATTTGTAGTCTTTTACACTTAACACTTTTTGCCTGAAACTCCAATAGCAGCTGCCATTTAATGGTGCATATTTATTTATTATGCTGGTTTTTTACGTATGTTGTCTGAGTACTATTAAAAAAAATAGTCTTTTATCATTCTGGTGTGGTATTTCTATGGTTCTGACACTTCATATGTAGAAATGATAACAGCTGTTTTTAGGTCCTTGGCAGATTTATAGCTAAACTCTGCCCAATATGGGCCGTGCTCAGCTTTCTTCACTTTCGCTATAATTCTCTCTGATTAATAATAATAAATTGTTGTTGTTGTTGTTTAAACTGTATGCTAAGTTTCTCACTCTAATGCTACCTCCTAAAATTTTTTTCTTCACTCACTTTTCCCAGTTTGTAGTTAATTTTCGTCTTTTTCTATTAGTAAGTACTATAGAAATACTGTAACATGAGACCAGTTTAGTAGTCTTCCATGTGTATTTAGTGTAATACCAGAAGGACTGTTTGATAAATCATTATATCCAAAGCATCTTCAGAGAGAAAATTCAGTTCACCTCATGCAAGAGTTATTGGTTATTTGTGCCTGAAAATGTGCTGTTCATATTGTAATTCAATTGCATGAGATTTAAACTAGATGTTATACCTTTAAAATTTGTAGCATTTAAAGGGGAAAAAGAGTGCATTGGTATTTTAATGTACAAATGAAAATTATGGAAGCCTTCATTTTAGGATATCTAGTAATTTTTAAATGTTACCAATAGTGAAAAAAATGACCATACTGGGAAATAAATTTGTCAGAAACATTTAACATTCTTCTGGAGTGTTATGGAAAGGCACATCAGAGCTGGAGAAAATCACAAGGAAAGTAGCAGGGTTCATAAATCTCCCTGATATGTGTCTGTTTTTCACTTAGTGTCTCTTGGTCCACTCATGTCTGTTTATAAATTGTATTTTCAGTTAAGGTGTCTGAAGAGAGATGGAAACAGATGCCAGGTAAGCAGCAGCACTGGAAGTCATCTGTAAGTTAGCACATTGCAGCCACCCCTCTCCCACCTCTGATTGAGAAGTAATACTTTAACCTGTACCTTGTAGCTGATGATAAGCTAAAAGATACCTTAAAATTTGTATGCGTTTTCATTTGGATTTCAGTGGAATTCAGAACTAGGCATTTTTGAGATGTATTAGCCCAAGTTTTATAATACCTTTTATTCTGTGCATAGGATTCACATAAGACTGGAATGTGAACTATTTGTGTAAATTGTGTGACTGAAGCTGGCATCTTAATTGATTAACATTTTATACTGTTTTAATTTTAAGGGCACTTACTGACACGCAAGCTCATTTAGTAGAACATTGCCCTGTTAAATCTTTTTATTCATTTAAATATTTACTTTCAGTGTTTATTATCTGCCTGAAACCATGGACATGAACTTGATTCAGACATATATCTTCTGCATGCCAATTTGCTCTTATTTACTGAAAAATATTTTTTTTTCCTAACATATGTACCTCAGTAGACCTTTGAAAATGTCTTCAGATTCTAATGAAATTTTTCAAGATAAAAATGGGGTTGGGGGGGAAACCCACCAGAATTCTGTTTCCATTTGCTACAGTAATTAATTTGTCCAAGACAAATGGATGAGAGAAATTACGTATGCAGGTTATGTATGCAGTGACGAATCTGTTCTGAATTAATTACAGAAAATATTTAAGGACAGTAAATCATTTTGTGAAGATTCTAACATCACTAAGATCAGTGGGAAATGTAACAAACTTGTAAAGAAAGTTTTTTTTATTCCTTTCTCTATGTACTCCTGTCCTTCCCCTTTTTTTCCTCTATTTATTTGTTCCTGCAGTTTTCAGTAATATCATCAGGACCAGTCATATTAATGTTCTCTTGAAACAAAAAGTTTGGCAATGTTGAAACCTGTATTCCAGATGTTATACTAGAACTGCTCTTGATCACAACATTTGAGCATTTATTATGACTGTTATTTAAATTCTGTGTTTATTTTCATAGTATTCTGTGGCCAAGGCTTCCATATTTTAAATATGTGTTGCTATGACACACATCTGGCTGTGTTTTTGGGAAGACTACACATTTGGGTATTATCAGAGTTTTCGTTGACACTAAACCATCTTCAATTGGTGTAGCTAGTGTCAATCTATAAGTTAGACGAAGCTTCTACAAGCATAAGGGAGTGGATGCAGCATTGGGCAGGGATTGTTTTAATACTTATATTAACGTGTAATGTAGTAGAATAAAATTTTTCACCAAATTGTTTTGTAGTCAAATGACATCAGATCAACAAAAATGAAAAAGAGAGTTGTGCCATTCCCATACTGCTTTTTTTTTTTTTTTTTTACAATAATTTGCTTTGTTGGTATAATATTTTAAAACCTCACTATCATTTTAATTCTGCCTTTGCTGGATAAACTATGAACATGAATTGTTTAAAACTTCACATTTATATTTAAATTAAGAAGTCATCTGAGATTCAAATAAAACAAAGATGCATGTATGTAAGAGTTCTGTTTTTCATTTTCTGCTTATATCATATATTAAGAGTAACAAAGGCTATATGTTATTTCCAGGTCTGAGACTTAACAAAGGTACCTCTACATCCCGACCTCCTACTCCTGCCAACTTACATTTACCAGACGTGATTCAGCTGAAAGATATTGTTTGCTATTTGTCACTGCTAGAAAGAGGAAGACCTGAAGACAAGCTAGAATGTATGTTCTTTTTTTTAAGATAATTTTATTTTTTTATTTCTTTTCAGGGAAATAAAAAAAAGTCATCAAAAATTCTGTTTCTAAATTTTCTGAGTTTAAGACTGAGTTTTGAGTAGCTGCATTATAAAAATTTGATTCTAGGTGACCTTTATTGCATGAATGATCTTTTATTCTTTATAATATATTAATTTGATGAGATTTTAACTGAATTCTTTCTGCCTAGCACACGCTAAGATGGGGAGTAAGGATCATACATTCTGCAGTTAAAATGATCCTTTCTATACTATTGTCTATTGACTAATATCAGAGCTGTGAAAAAAACAAAATATACTGAGGATGCTTAGGAATATATTGAAGTGGTGAATAATCTGTAGAAAACAAGCTAATGCAAGCAAAAAATATTTGTTAATATAGGACTCTGTAATATTAGTGATAAAAAAGCCAAGAATGATCCAAGTCTCCACCAAGAATGAATGTTTGATGCTGGAAGTTAGAAATTACTTGCTTTTTTTTCAATTAGGGGCCTGATTCATTAAAGCCCAACACCTCTACCTGTTCAAAAAATAACTACAAGTTTGATCTGGGAATTAGAGGAAAAAAGGAAGAAATCGTGTGTTGCCCCGTTATGGAATTTTAGAAGCCAGTTTTCCAGGTAGATAAACAGTCAATCCAATCATATAGTCCTTTATGGACACCAAATACACTTTGATATACATAGCTGGCCTGTCTATAAAAGAACTATGGGATCAGTTCTAATACTTTATGGCAAGTAAATACTCAATATGATAGGAAATGCAAACAGTAGGCTTCATCTGCTGGAATGAGAAGTTCATTACAAGGTTACATGACCGCATGTTATTGAAGTATCTTGATGTTTCACTACCTGTAGTTAGCTTACTAACCAGCATCCTTCTGGACAAGTTGTCCAACTGTGGGAAGGGTGGGTTCACGGTGCGCTGGGTGAAGGAGTGGCTGAATGGCAGAGCTCAAAGGGTTGTAGTGAATGGGGCTACATCTGGCTGGCGACTGGTCACCGGTTCTTCAGGGTTCAATTCTAGGGCCAGTCCTGTTCAATATATTTATCAATGATCTGGACGCAGGAGTTGAATACACCATTAGCAAGTTTGCTGATGATACTGGGAGGTGCTGTTGACTCTCTTGAGGGACAAGAGGCCTTGCAGAGGGATCTAGATAGATTGGAGCATTGGGCGGAGTGAATCATAGCGGAGTGTTTGGAAACTAGATTCAGGACAAGCAGAATATGGAAGCGGTGCTTTCAAATAAAATCTGATATAAGCTGGGTGATTTTTTTAAGATGAAAGGAAATAGTGTTTAGGTTTTGGATCTATATGATCTATGGGTTTTCATAGATTTACAAATATTCCAGCAGATGAATGGATTCTCTAACCTATTAGCAGTATATTCCTAGAGGAAACTGTTCAGTTCTTATAAATATGCAGGGTACTTCCTAAGAAATGAACAGTGGTGTTTCTTAGCTCAACTTTCCTTCCTTTAATGTTCCTTCCAACAGCAGAAGTTATTTTAGCTCACATTTACATGAGGCTTTATCAGCACAGCCCATTCCTCAATTTGTATGTGTTTTTTATCAGTATAACCATGGATGCCAGGCATGTATCTCTTGTGAAACTGTTCGGAGAAATGCCAGGGGGCAGTATGAAAGGCATTAGACATAAATGGTGTGGAGGGAGCATAAGACCTCCATGGGTACCATATCTTTACAAACATAATGTGCTTACAAGTGCTCAAACTTCTTTCGGCTCTTATGAATAGAAACTCCGAGAATTATGAGCTGTGGGGTTTTTTTGCCAGTTTCTCTTATGAAGACTCTCTTGAGGTTATTCTGTTTCTGTTCTTTCCATACCAATAGAAGCTTCAAGAATGCCACACTGTTCTTTTGTATTTTTGCAGTAATATGATTATTTACAGTCTGTCTTTTTGCTATGCTATGCAGTTCTTGGACATTCAGGCTTCTGTGAAGAATGACAAGCCTTACAGTTTTCAAAGTACATGCGCTGATGAAAATAGAAAGTGCATTCAGCACTTGTTTGTGCATGTGTTTTTGAGAATGAATTCCCCAATTTCTTCTCAAAAGGCCATAATTTTTAACTTTTGGAATGCCACCTTTGTCATACGCAAGATTAGAAGTCCAGAGGTTGCAGGTGAAAGTATAGCAGTGCAGCAACTGATCTCATCTTGGTAATTTTTTTTTAATACATTTTTAATTATTTACAAAAGGTATGCAGTCTAGGAATAGAAATCAAGTGGCTAGTCAGTGCTATCAGGTAAGGGTATGAGAAAAGAAGTATAAAAGATTGACTTGGGCGCCGTAGTTTGCATCAGAACTTTTGTTCAGTTGTTTTTATCATTTTGTTGTTGTTTTTTCTCCTAGAGTGCGTAAATCAGCAAGAACATGAATATTTAGCAGGGTATGAATAGAAAAGAGATTGCATGTCGCACCAGTAGCAGTTTTTCGGAGTCTAGCCAAGAGCACAGATTGAGCCTTTTCACTACCCAATACGTATGTAATTGGAGAGACTTTGTTTGCTACAAAGGTGAAACAGTTATAATTATGCTAATGCCTGTTTTTAAATGACTGATTAGAACTACTGATTCATGTTAAAGGAAAAAAAGGTTGTAAGCCTTACTTCTCTGGAGTGGGTAAAGATCAGGGAGACGCTAAAACTTGCTTTCATGATAACTCTAGAACATTCTTTCAACCAGTGTATTACACTCACAGAGGAGGAGGAAGGAGAACCAAATGATTTGAACTTTATCACTGCGTGATTCAGTGATTCATCCCTATGGAAACTGTGAATGCTTAATGGTACCTTTGCCAGATAATATTAGCTGTCTTGCTCTGAGCAGCTTTGGTAGAAGGTGTACTAGCAGGGACAGTACCAATCTGTGGTGGCTTTTAGCATTAACTGTTGTTTTACACTGAAATATTTCTGCTATGTAATTCACAGTCAAAGGAAGATATTTTTATAGGTTTTCTTAGCCTGTAACTAATGGACCTTTGTAGGTTGAAACAATGTACTACAGTAAATATCTTCAATCTTATATTACAGCTCTTAAGAGCAGTGCGATATAGTGGCAAGAATTGCTTAAGTGATAGAGAGGTATAGTACTTACCTTTTTTCCCCACAGTTAGGTGATTAACTTGGGAATAAGATGGGGGATATAAGGGAAGCAAGCCAATCCATATAACAGTTAAATAGGTTTTGCTGTAAGTCAAAAATAATCAAATTCTTTCTGAACTTTACTTTCTAATTGCTAAGAATTTCCTCTCACTTCTCATTATATTGTTTCCTGAAAACTGTGATAAGCTTCGCTTGCAGAATTTATTGGACTGTAACAGCATTTGCTGTGGATCCAACGTGGTGGGATTGTTCACTGTTGAACAAGTCGTATGTTATGTGTCCAAAGACATTTGATAAGACAGTTTGTAAAGCAGATTGCTTGGGTTTTCCTATCAGTCAAGGCATTACAGTGTCCTGGAACCACCTGTATATGGACTCTCTTCACTCTTTAGAAAGTAGATCTAGGGGAAAAAAATGAGCACTTTTGAAGGGGATGGTGTTTAGAATTCAGAGCTCTGACAAACTGTCCCAGAAAATAGGGACAAACAGTGACGTATTCATAAGCTTCTGGTTTTCATCTTTAGCCTTTTAACAGTATTCCTACCAAAGCTTCAGGCTTCTTTCTGCTCTGCAATCTGATGGAGTATATGATCAGCTGAGTAAGCTGCTTTGCAATATCTTGGTAATGGTGGACATACCCACTCTTGTGGCTGGAATCAAGTAATGATACAAACTTCAAAGTATATATTCTTTCTGGATATTGTCAAAATGCAGCTATTCTTGCCTGAGTAGCTCCTCAACACGTTGGGAATACATTTTCAAATTAATGAAGCAGGTCTGGTCCTGGGAGGAGTCATGCTGGCAGTCTGTGAGGAATGTTTATTGTTGGATTTGGCTGATTAGATACTTCAAATAATAATCCTCTGTTTCATTTAGTTGGTCAGAAAGCATTTCTAAAGCAATGTCACTATTGAATAGCGATATCTGCAACCAGGGGAGTAGGATAGCATTGTAACTTAAGCAGGCTTATCAACGTTTCCTTGACCAATTGTGTGTTATCCTATATTTGGTGAGATGACGGAGGAGGGCCTTTTAGTGGTACTCACCATGAATACGAATCATCTCTAGGAGGAACCAGAATTAAGTTCACAGACCAAATTAGCTGTTGGAGTGATTATGTGGAAAATGTGCAATTGCACTGTCCTGCTAATATGCCTCGTCGGAGGCACTGTGGCAGAGTAGTCACTGAGTGAACCTCTCACATAATACAAAGTGTTTGGTGAGTCTATAGTTAGTATGATCATTAAAGGAAAATGTTAATGTTTGTCCTTTCTTTGAAACTCAGGTTTGGATGGTTTGTGTTTTGGTTTGGTTTGTTTTGTTGGGGTTTTTTTTGGTGGTTGTTGTTGTTGTTTTTTTAAATGAAGTAATGTTGTTACTATGGTTTCTAACTGAGTTTGCTTGTCTTTTTGTTTCCTTTTTAGTTATGTTTCGCTTATATGATACAGATGGGAATGGATACCTGGATAGTTCGGTAATGTTATTTATGTATTTTAATGCATTGTAAGAGTATGTCATAATGGCATACCTATACAAAACTACGTTAATCCAAATCAAGTTTATATTTATCCTGAATTAATAGAGGCAGTATAAACTATAGTCAATAAAAAGTCACCTGTTTTGAAAGTAACTCTTGAATTTTATTTTCCATTAAGCTGCTGCTTCTACAACTGTATAAATTTTCAAATGCTGACACTGCTATCATGGAGTCCTATTCTATCTAATCAGTCTTCTGATTTTTAATCATATTACTGTAGGGGACACGTTAATGTGATTCCCAAAATTCTAGTATGCTGCTGGGAGATGTGTATGAGAGCACCATTTGTAAAGATTTCATTAGAAGGGGAAAGTGTGAGAGTCACACAGTGGATGTATGTGGAGAGATGTCAGAATTTCCATGTTATTAAGAACAGAGGAACAATATTAAAGACAAAGTTTTGAGGCATAGCCCAACCAAATGTTTCAAGGAAAATCAGAGATATAACAATCATTTAAAAAATTAAACTATTTTTTTCTGTTAGCTAACAGAAAGAAGTATTTTATTGGCAGCTTTCTTTTTTCTTTTTTTTTTTTCCCCTTCTTTTGTATCTCTCTGAAGTAAGACAGCATAGAATGGATTGGTAAAGAAGAGGAGGTGATTCCTATAAGTGATAGGGGAATAGGGATCTAAGTTACATAAAAGTATAAAGTAAATACTGTATCATAGTTTTAGACAATACAAAATATTAATTAGATAACTAGTGCATAATAAATACACATGGTTCTAGATAAGCATTTGAGCATGTTTACAAACCAAATTGTATATATGAATATGGAAAAGCACTAGTGATATGTGATCAAGGGAAATTACAATACTGTAATGGTAAGAAAATATCTCTGTATTATTTTATACTGTCCACTTTATGCCTTATTTCCACTAGAAAGTTGTGAATTATACAATTGCAGTCAAATAATTTGTTAGAGTGGAATTTAAAGGACCTTACATCATTATATCAGAGGGTGGATTCAGATTATGAAACCAATGGTTGAATGAACAACTAAGAAGGAAGAATCTATTACTACTTTCAACCCAGAGGCTGTCCTTTGGTTGTGGGGCTGCATTTCACCTTCCTGCATGCTTTGCGGTCCATGCTTGATGTTTTGCTCGTGAAGCGGATTCACCTAAGAGTGGACAACTTCCAGTGTAAAGCCATTTCATTAGGAACATTGATGAAACAGTGCCACTGAATGCAATATGTTTGAATTATAAGTTGCTTGCAGCAGAATTTGTCTTTATAATATTGCATTAAATATTATCATTCTTTTTCTTTCATCTGTAGGAGCTGGAAAATATCATTGCTCAAATGATGCATGTTGCAGAATACCTTGAATGGGATGTTACTGAACTAAGTCCAGTAAGCATCCATTTTATCACAAGTTTTTAATGTTGCTAGAGATACCGTTTAATCATTTTGTGATACTTCATGTCAACATGTGTTTCTATATATTAGTAAGATAGAAATAATAATAGTCTATGCTCCACAATGACACCGTCAATTAGCACTTTTATGAGTCTTTTTCTGGTTAAATCTGATCTGTGAAACATTCTTGCTACAGTTTAAGGCTTTTCTTCAGTGCATGTAGTAATTAACATAACACAACTGGTTTGTCTCTGAAAATTTCTTAAAAGTAACTATCTCTTATTTGTATTGTACTTAGTAAGTACGCAAGGGGACACAACTTGGTTTGGCAACTTTAGGTGATAATAAAATGTAAGTAGGAATATGACACTTCATTTTCTGAACTGTCAGTACTCATTTTAGTACAAATAATACAAATAATATTTTCCTTTTTGCGTGCGGATGAGGGAACTGAAGACCTGCACATATTTTCTTGCTATATTAGAATATGGAATTTATGAGATTTTTCATTAAACTGTGTAGATCCTTCATGAAATGATGGAAGAAATTGACTATGATCATGATGGCACTGTTTCTCTAGAAGAGTGGATCCAAGGAGGAATGACGACAATCCCGCTCTTGGTCCTTCTTGGGCTAGAGAATGTAAGTATTAACATAAGTGTCAAGTTTCTGCTTGCATGTCAGCTGTGGCCCTCAGGTTAGTTTCTGTGAGGCCTGTATAAAAAATGGCTTTTCTTTTCTTTACTATGGCTGAATGACATGCAAAGAACAGGAGTGTGTCTTCAAAGTCAGAGGTACATTAGCATGTTTGAAGCAACACCAAATGAGCTAACTCTGGAGCTGGAAGCTGTAAAAAGCTGATTAATTTGTCCTATTAACAGCATATTGTTAATTCCTAGCTGCAATAGTATCTGTTAGGAATGTGTACTGCCCATGGCTTGAAGCAGTGTCTAGGCTTCTCAGCATGGTGCTGTATTGTGTGGCATAACCATACGGAGTCACAGAACAATCTAGGTTGGAAGGAACTTCTGGAGATCACCTGGTCCAGCCTCTTATTAAAGGCAGGGTTGCAGGTTGAGTTATCAAGGACCCTGTCAAGCCCTGTCCTGAATAATTCCAGTGAGGTGGATTCCACCAGTTCTGCAGGCAACCTCTCCCAGTGTTAATTGTTCTCAAGGGAAAAAACTTTTTTCTTGCGTCCAGATGGAATTTCTTCTGCAGCAATTATTGCCGGTTGGCTCTTGTCCTGTCATGATACATTCCTGTGAAGATAGTTCTTCCATCTCTGTAACTACCTTAATAAACTACACTAAATAGCAATATCAAAGAGAACACTTACACCAAAGGATAGAGTGTTATGAAAGGAGAGCTTATGCACTGTACATTTACAACTTCACATTAAAGATAAGACAGATGTAATATGATCAATTTTATACCCATTCAACACAGCTGTTTTAATACTGGCATATTGCCAGTGCCACCTGCTGTCCTGTGTTTGAGCTAATTTTGAGCACATGTATCTTAGCATATGTTTCAAATGCCTTTCTGTTATTTGATAGAAAACATTTTTTTTTTTTTTCTGAAATCTTTTTCAGATATTGAAGTGAAATAATAAATAATATTTACTTTCCCCATATACTGCTACAGCCTGAACTAAACCTAGACTGCTGTAGTTGCTCTATGGTATTTTATTTTCACAAAGAATGGTCAGACTGAGACCTTCCGTAGGGAAATACGCAACAAAACAGCGCATTTAGCAGAAGTTCTAAAATTCTTGATCTTATTAATCAAATTAGCAGCTAAATATCTGAACTGACGATAACTTTCAGTACATTTGGATCACTGTAAGTACTAATTCCCTAATTCTATATGTGTGACTGAGTAACAAAAATGTTAAATTACTTCCCTGTCATCAAACAACACATTTTTGTCAGGCTGTATTCCATTATTTCCACAGAATTACTCTAAACAAAGGGCAGCAAATGCTCTCAAACAATCAGTATAGCAGATAACTGGTAGTCATTTTCAGTACAGATTTTTCTTTCATGACAGGTAGTGTAGTTGTTCTGGGAGTATTTTTCAGTCTACACTTCATTCTTTCTAAGTTTAAAACTTAAATTCTATGATAAATTAATGCAGATCCTTCTGTAGAGATTTATTTTCATATTAAAGCAAAAGCTGTGTAATTAGAAAGAAGCTATGTAAACGTATGTTACCAGACATTTTATCCTTTTGAGTATTTTTACTAGTTATTACATAATTTATCTTGCTGTGTGTAGCTTTACTATGGAAATAATAAAAATATGTTAAACAGTGATCAAAATTCTGTAGCCTGCTATCAGCATGGGTCAGTGTTTCTGACAGTGTGTGTTTCTTGTGTTGAAGAGATGTAAATGTACAGTTGTGAAAAAATGTTATAATGGTATGCAAAATACCTTTTTCATCAATAAGCATAGTTTTATTAGTTGAAAGTTGGAGTAAAATGGATGGGGTGGCTTTTAATGCTTTTTTAATATTTTACTGTGAATGAAGTTCATTACCTACAGAACTGTACAAGCTGAATTGCTAGACATTTGCTAATGATTTACTAGGAAATAATGCCATCCTGTAAAAGGGCTCCCATTTTTCTTTTCGTGTTTAAAAGTGCTCTTGATTTCTTAAACCATTCGCGTAGTATGTAGAGAAAAGCCAGATTTTAAAATTTTCTATCAAACAAGCAAAAATTTACTAGTTCTGTTTGTACACAGTTCTAAATGATCAAATCGACATGTATTTTAGGACACTGGAAAGTTAAATCAAGAAAGTTAAAACTCTTTAATGCCTGTCCATCGTTATTTGTGTAAACTGATAGCATGATTTTGATGGCTTTACAGCATCTAATGTGTTACCCAAGGTCTTCATTCCTGTGCATCATTCCCATTAGTGGAATGCTCTTATTTCTTTTCAAATGCTGTTGTTAGATTTTGCAAACGCAGCTTCCCAGGACTCCGCTTTCTGGCTGTTTTTCTCTCTCTTTTTAGTTATGATAATGAAAAGTAAGATAAGAGTCTTTCGGACTCAGTAATCAGATAATGAAGTTCTGATATCTTAAAGGCTGATTAGTATGTGAAAATAAAGGGCATAATCTACTGGCTTATGCTTCTTAGACATGTACAGGTAGTCTTCACATATTGAAAATAAGCAAAAAAAAAAAAAACCCAAACAACCGAACAATTCTCTCACCTTCTTTTAACTTAGCCAACTATGCTTTGGCTCTATGTTGAACTCAGGCAATGATGAAATTTTAAATCCAAGAGATCAATTTCAGAGCCTGTCCAGTATGATAGTGACAAAGAATTGTCACAGTAGTTTATTTTTAAAAAAAATTATGATACCAGTGAAGTCTTTAATTTGTTTTGGGTTGGGGGACAGGGTTGGTCCATTAACTTGCTGTAATATATTTAACTCTTGTATAGAGCTTGTACAAACAATACAAGATTCTCAGCTGGTGTAATTTGTTATGCCAATATCAGTGAAGCTACAATAATTTATTTCAGCTGAAGATTTGCCATAGTACCTTCAGAATTCAGCTACATTGTTTGTACTTAATCTTTAGTTTCCTTTAAGAGCTATGTAAAAAGGTCAGCTATCATGTAAAAGTTTTGTATTACATTTAAAGCCTTTCAATCAGTTTTTATTACATACTGTATTAGATGCTTTAGTTACAATAATCCAAAAAAATTCAAAGAAGCATTTAAGTGAAATATGGAACTATATTGTACAAAAATGAAAGAATAAACAAGTTAGTGTTCATAAACAATAGGGCTGAGATAGCCTAATCTCTCACAGGTTTGTGGTCTTTGCCCTCTGACTTCATCAGTAATCCCCTTCTGAAAGAGACAGGAGTATTAGGTTGTTATTACAAATATTAGCTAGCCAGCTGTTGCCAAATTTAAAAAAAAAAAACCAAGAAAATGTGCCTGACTTTCCTTCTGATCTCTCTCTCTTTCTCTCTGCCCTCCCTGCCACCGCCCCGCCCCTCCCCCTCCCCCTTTTCCTAGACTTCCATGAAACTTCTAGTGCCCTCTCAAATTTAGTTGAGATTACCAAATTAATTTAAAAGTTGCTGGAGCAGTTTAGAGTCATGGAGATAAAGGGACAAAGAGCATAAATAAGTCTCATTTCTCTAGGAAATCAACCTAAATACCCAGTTTATTTCATCTTAATGGCTTTTATGCTTTATATTTCCTCCTAAAACTTGAGTTTAGAGTTGCTGTGAAGGTAGAACTTAGAAATACAGAGTTTTATCTCTGGTAATTTTCCAGGATAGAAACAATGTATTCTTATTTTGGTGCTTTTCAAGGTAATTGGTGTGCTAAACAAACAATTTCAGTACAAGATAAGGAATTGAAATAAGAACTTAATTGGTTCTTAATCTATAGGGTACTGTGATACACATACTGTTTGGAAATTCATTTTGCGAGAAAAGAGCTTGGAATTGTATACATATATAATCCATTTGTACTTGGATGACTACACTTTTTCCACTTAGCAGTGGCTGAATGTGTTCTGTACCACACTTACTGAAACTTTTAAGACTCATAATTCTTACTCTGAGGTATTTAGTTGTGCCAGTTTCATGGAAGTTGTTCCAAGAAATTCTCTCATGAAGAGAGAGATGAAGAAAAAAAATAATTAGGTAACTATAGAGGAGATTGTTATTTATGTGATGCAATTTTTAATAATAAAAGTATGGGGTAGAGTTTTTTTGCTGAGTGTCACAGTTCAGTCTGCAATTTTCACAGTCCTTATCAACTTCCCAAATTTGTTTTTGCTTCTTAAGGCAAAGACGGGAGATACTTGTCTCCTGTCCAAGCACCAGTTGGACAGAGATGTCCCTGCATTACTTCTTCTGATTGATAATTACACTTTTGGGAAGTGGCCTGTTGCATACTACTGACCACTAGGCCATTTACTCTACTCCTTCCCAGTAGAAATCTTCAGAGAGTCTGGCCTTCTTATTTCATTCTGCGTTAATTAAAACAGATCAAAATTGTCAGTGAAGTTTGAGAGTTACCCCATTGACTATCCTAGCATTACTCAAAATGTCTGTTGTAATGTGGGCACAAAAAGCTGCTTAATGACTGTTTGCTCCTAAGGTTTTTTTGTCAGTCACAAATATTGTGTTTTGTTCTTCACTAGGAGTTCACTTGCACAGTATTCTTCCACCCTGTCCTGATAAAAGGACTTGATTTGTGTTCCGTGCTAGATATTTTGGTCTCACCTCTCTTGTAACGGATCATTACTATAACCTCTGTCAGTGGTTATACAAAAGATAGGTATAAACCGCAAGTTCACAAGTGCTAGTGTTTAAAAAATCCCGTGTTTTGGATGTGGAAAGTATTTTATTCCCTCTTCACTGGCCACTAGATGTCACAAATGCACTGTATCTGGAACTGTACAGTTGCTGAAAAGCTCTCCTAAGGTGAGAGGGAAATTGAACAGTGAATGCTTGGTAACATCATCAATAATCTGAAGCCAGGCCACTATACCTTTCTTTTAAATCACCGATTGTAATTTTCAACCCATTTCACCTTTTAAAACAAGGTAAATCTCAATGAGACAAACACATTTTTGTGACTATGCTTCAATGGAATCAGAAGGAAATGCTCTTACAATTTTATTTTGGATCCTCAGGCAGCAAATATGCTATTACACTCACAAGAATTTAAAAGGTAACTCTTTCTTAACCTTTTTGATTAAATGTGGGATGGACTCTTCGAGTGTGAATCCACACTTGGGAAATACTGCCTCTTATATTGTATATTACATTATTGTTGGCTTACTTTTTGAGCTCTGAGTATGTGAAAGTGGAACCAAACTGGGGACTTGCAAACATTTGCAAGTCTGGTGTGGGATTTGTTGCATCATGAGGAGTTCCTCTCAGGCTGAAGTCTGAAATGACTGTTTAATAACTAGGCAGTTTGGTAGAGTTGTACTTCTTTCATTCAGCGAGGAATGAGAGCAATCTGACCTTTTATTATCCCCAGTGATATTTTTATAAGTCCTGTCTGAAGTCTGGCAGGTGAGTTTTCTAAAAGGCTGAAGTGCCGATGAGCCATATGTTATTTCCATATGCACAGAGGGCAAAACCAAGCCCCTGCTAGAAGAAGCTGTAGCTTATCCTCTTTGTGCCAGCTCCTTACCAGCTGTGAAGCAGATTCACCCTACGTGATAACGGGAGCTATTTTACCAGTATCATTTCACAGCATTGCCAGCAGAGGGGGTTATGTTAATGCTTTGTGAGACTTCATAGCAGGAGCTGCTAGAAAAGTGGACATCTCTTTTCTTGACAGTGCTGTCTACTTTTACGCTGTGCTAGCTCCCACTTCTTTGCAGGAAGTTTGCAGATGCCTTTCCTTACTACAGTCCTGCTTTTTCTTTTGCCTGTAGGTTGGTAAAAGCCTGGGAGAAGTCAGAAGTAACTCTAACCTGTTCTGTGTATAAGGTGTAAAATAAATGGTATTTCATGCAGGTATACAAATTTACCATTATTTAAAATGTAATTTCTGCAGCATTTCAGTCTCTGCAGATGACAGGTGACTACCAGTTTAGGGACAGGGAAACTTTGTAGTGTAGCTAATTATGAAGCTTGTTTAAACAAATTAATTTCCCCTCCTGTGCTCCCTTTTCTATGCTGTCATTTTCTCATGTGCATATTAATGCTTAAGCATTTCTGGATGATCAGGATAGCACACTGGTGAGTGTGTGGATGAAGGCTGGGGAAGTGTTGTTCCCACCCCTCCCCCCTTTCTCCAGCGCACACACAGAGACACACACAAAGTATCTCTGAAGTTAGAAGTGAGGAGCCCTCCCCAATAGCAAAGGTTACTGCCTTTCCAGTTGAACCAGAACAGACTTAGAACCCCCTCTCCCCAAACCAAATTGAACAAAACCAAACCTGACATGAATTCTTTGCTGAGAGCCACCAAAGGAATATAGAACTCAACTGCATTTGTATTAAAAGGAGGTGCTGCGTGGTTTAATGGACACTCTTCTCACCTTCCCACTGACTGAACAATACCCAAAGTTCTGTCATAAAAATGTCTTCAAGTCATGTAAATATTTTTAAAATAAATGAAAACAAAATAACAGTAGGCAGTGAAAGAATAACTTAGCAGACTCGCTAACATCCTTCTCCTGTGGTTGCTTGTTACTGACTCTTCTCATAGAAAAGACTGAGCATGCTGGTATTTCAGACACTCTGTAGCTATTGTAAGAGGTGATACTTGCTAGGATGAAAAATTATCAGTGATTTCATTACCTTTAAGTCTCAGAATCTTGAGTTTTATGCTTGAAACCTTAAGATCTCTTTGGCTACCTGTATTTACAAATATCTAGAAAGCTGAAGTAAGTTAATATTAAACCAGATTAGGGATGTGTAGCTAAATTCTGCATAAAATTTTCCACTAATTCTAATGCTGGTTCTTTCGTAGTTGATTTGCTTTTTAAGGTCAGGTCCTTTTGGCAATCAAGTCCATGGTAGAAGGGTCAGGACTATAAGTTAAGAGAACCGTTGTTAACAAAATAAATGTTACTATTGTCATTATGTGCTAAAGTCAGTGTATGGCATATGGAGGCTTCATTTTCAGTGGTGTATAATGAAGTGAGGAAGAGAATTTTACTGTACCTGCCCTGCTTTGAGATCTTCTTAATGACTATTTGGTTTTAAACTCTTTCTCAGGATATGGAAGCAAAATGAATGAATGTCAGTAAATGCACTGATGTGTCAGAATTGTGGATTTTATTCATACTTAAAGACTTGCATTGAGGGGGCTTTGTTTCACATTATGTCTTTTTTTTTTTTTGTCAGTGTTTTAGAAAGTTATGTGCATGCATAATCATATGCACCACTTTATTGCTTATTTTTGGCAGTGCACAAGAGCAAAAATTTAATTTGCTATTTTCCAAAAGTGCATTGTGTTTATGTAATGGATTTGCATCAGTTGCAGTCTGTAACACAGTTAAGTGTTTTAATTGGCAGAACACCCACATCAAGACTTGTTTGTTTTTCTGATAAGGAAAATGCCAGCTAAGTTAGTCCATATGTTCTGTTCAAATAAGAAGCGACATATTCACATGTAATGGCCACTCTTTAAAAATAAAATTCAAATAAAAAAGTAACACAAAACTAATGTGGAAGAGGGGCAAGTTTATGCATAATTATGAATTTTTGTTAATTCTCAGAAAAAGCAAAAATTTTACTAAGGAAAGCTGGTCACCTTGCATTTTAAGTGCTTGTGGTTTATGACAGTATCTGTTGATGACCTGAGTAATGTAAAAATGAAAGTGTACATTGTTTACTGTTTTTTCTCAGAAGGATTTACATGGTCTTTATTGTCTAGTGAATAATTGTCTACTTTCAGAAGACTTGAAACTCACATACTATATTGTAGTTTAACAAAACTTCAAAAATGTGTGGTATGTGGTAGTAAGATGGAAAGAAAAACAGAAGTTACAGAGCTCCATTTAATGAAATACATCCTCTTCAGCTGCCAGTCATGAAGGAGCTTGACAGGCTTCTAGTGCTCCACAGCTGCAGAATCTATTTCTGCTTCTTCAGGGGAAACTGGAAAACTTCCACGCTCTTTGCCAGCCCAAGAATCCCACATTAGGCATCTGCACTGCTCTTTCTGCAGAAAGTGGACCCTGACATTGCCCAGCTGTCAGAGATGGCATTTGAACTCCTGCTGATAATATTGGGGGAACTCCACTTAGGGTCTGATCCTGATGTCTCAATACAAAAAAAATATTCCAGCTGACTTCAGTTCCTTTTGTTTCTAGGTAATTTGTAGGAATTATTCAAAGTTGTGTTCTGGCTAGGACCTGGCTTTGAACCAAATATTCTTAATTTCTTGGAGTGCTGATCTCCCTTCAGGATTTTTTTTCCCCGCAAGGATGAAGAAATCATCATCTTTGACTTGTCGTTAACGGCTAACTCTTAGAATAGAGCAATACTGATTTTTGAGGACATAACTCATGTATGTATGCTAATATAGGACAAAACTGAATTTTTAGTAAAATTTATGTCCACTGACTTACATTGACTGTCCTTATCAGTGAAAACCATCATATTATTGAAGATCTAGTCAGGAATATTGTGTATACATGATGACAAGTAGTAGTAGCCGTTTGATGTGAGAAATCGGAAACTGGATGAGAACCAGCTGTTGATGTGGCTTCTGACAACCAGAGGTTAATATGGCTTCCTTTAGCTATGTGACAATTTCTTTTTGGTAATGAAATGACAAAGAAAACATAGTGTTTCAGTAAGACACAATGAGGAATCAAACTGCTGCAGCCCATTTCCAGCTGATAGACATTAACTGCCTTTGTTCCATTGGATGTTATATTTGGTAAAAAAAAAAACAAACCAAACCAAAAATCAAGTGATATTACATTAGGTTAATCTAATTTTTTTAAAATCAAAACCTCTGATGATTGCAAAAAGTCTGATGGCCGCGCTTGCCAAGAAACCTGGAATTTACAGAATTAATTTAACAGCTGTACCAAGCGCACATAATTTTAAAAACCTTCTAATAACAGTGAGGTCTCAGCATAATTCCACTAAGAAGGAAGAGGAGAATTGTGTGACTGAAAGCTTACTTTTGTAAATGTAAATGATTTGATAATATTTTAGTTGTATGGATAAGTTACAGTGGGACCCTGAGTTGTAAGTGCCGATCAGTTGATCAGCCTATTCATGCAAAATTTGGGTATAGTGCTACAGCTAACTGAAAAACATGGGCTTAAATGTAAGGAATTCAATTTTTGGAGACGAGGTCCAGGATATAAATCTCACCCTTAAATACTTGCTTTTCGATAGACTATGAGCAGTAGTTTAACATAAGTTAAAGCTAGCAATAGGCACTACTGTGGTGTCGTTAGATTCCCCACTTCACATATGTTGATACATGTCCCTAATTCTGAGGGTCATTAAGAATATCTCTGTAGTTTTAAAAAATCCTTTCTATTGTTCGTTTTGGGGAGTTTTACCATCTAACCTGCAGCACCTTTGTTTTTAGAATTAGTCTAGAACAAATTTTAGTTAGTTTTAATAGTAGTTGTAATTTAGTATCAGCCTAGATTTATTGCTAGCATTGTGTTACAGTGGTCACAGCAGCCTGGTGTTTTTTCTGAGTCGTTTTTGAAATGCATGGATGTCCATGAGCTTCTGAAGAATTTTTTATTATATCATTGCCTGTGTATTTAGAATGATTATACTGTGATCTGGTGCAGGGTATTAAATGAAGTAACAGCTTGTCTTTTATGTTCTTGAGTCAATCTCCAATTTTTATTGGCACTTATATATTTCATTGTTTATTTTATTAAGTGAAATCTGTTTCTTTTATGTCCTGTGCAGAATGTGAAAGATGATGGGCAGCATGTATGGAGACTGAAACACTTTAACAAGCCTGCCTACTGTAATCTTTGTTTGAACATGCTAATCGGAGTAGGCAAGCAAGGTCTTTGCTGTTCTTGTGAGTATAAGCATTTCAGTGTCCATTTGCATACATGTTTATTCCTACAAATGTTGCGCTCGCTGCATAACAAAGAACTAGTTGCTTCCCAGTACAAAACCATTGCCAGCACAAAGGTGTCTCCCCCTTTGTCTTCTATGCTTGAGCGCTCAAGGTTCCATTTTTAATTTTTCAGGATATTGGGCTTTCAAAGCTGTTGTCTGAGGAAGTTTTCTGTATTCTAATAGCTCTCAGTGTTAGTTTCCTTAGGAGTCTGCCTCTTTTTTTTTTTATTTTTATTTTCTTTTCTCTTAGCAAGTATCGTGCTTAAGTTTCAATCTTATATTTTTGTTATTCCTCTTTTGTATTTATTAATAATTATTCATATTCTTTAATAAGTATCAACTAGCATCTGAGTCCCATATTTGTTTATTCAAATTTTGCACAGAATTCTTGTTTTGTTAATTGTGAAGGTCAAAATCCCAGTTTTCCAGAAATCAAGTTTCTGTAACACTTCCAGAGTTTTGTATGTTTACGTGGTTTGTAATCATAAATCACAGTCTTGCCATCCTTTCACATATTAACTAATTATAGATTTTAAGGTAAAGGAACACAGAAAAACTACTGCATCTAATTTGACCTTCATTAGATTATTAGATGCAGTTACTACAGTTCAATTCCTTGAGTTATATCTGTGTATCTCCTAACAATCTGTGTTTGACCAGCTCATAACCTGCATCTTGAGAAACCGAATCTTGCCGAAAGATACCTTGTCTCTGTTTGAATCTTTCAAGAGATGGATGATCCATATCTTTCCTTTGTGGTGTGTTCCAATGATTAATCATCTTTTTTTAAGACGTATTTTCTGATTTGAATATGTCTGGTAGACGGTTCCAATGATTGGTTCGTGTTATGCCCTGCTCCATTAGATTAATGAGATCTTTAGTACCCACTGTATTCTTCTCATGATGGTATCAAGTCACCTTTCATTGTTCTTTTTGATAAATTAAACAGTTTCTTAGTGTAACTTACTTTCTCCGTTTTTGGTATGAAAGATAGCCCATCACAGCTGATCAGGACCTTTCTGCCTGTACAGTTCTATTGATTTAATTTGAGATTAGTCTGAATGAATGAGGGTTTTGGAATCGACCATTTCTCTCTCTGTGGGCCTCTTTAAAACATAATTCAGACGTAAATCCTCCATGTATGCATTTTCACATCATATAATTTCATTCACGATACCGTGGAATGAGAGAGATACATTTATTGAAATTCAAACAAATAGAAATTGCATAATATCAGATTAATAAATGCTGATGACAGTAACAGGAATATATATATAAAATGCTGAATTGACTATTAGTTCTTGAAATGTTACATTCTTTAACATTCTTTTATGTCAGACTGATGTAAATTTAATCCTTGTGAGGAAATAGAAGACCCATATATGTTTGAAAGAGAAAATTCTATTGAGCAAATAATGTAGATCATCTTCTTCAGTAGCTATCAGTAATGTGTAGATGAGTTATATAAAGTAAACTGCCCCAAAAAGACCAGCCTTACACGAGCTGTAATTTTCTCTGCTGCAATGTACCTCTTTAAAATTTATTTGTTATTGTGCTTGGCATTTATTTTGTGAGAACGATGGTCCTAGGGTATCTGAAGAACATCCACATGCTCCTTTCAGTTACTTCATGCAGCAAGGGGCATGAGTCTACTTACAAAACTATTACCCTATTTCCTTATCTCGCTAAAGCTTCTTCTCCAATATATTTTCAAAGCATTGCTATAGATTTCATTATTTGCATTTTAGATTGTGTGGGAGGAAAAAAAAAAAGGAAGCTGCAGGGGGCCTCACCATCCCTCCATGGTCCAATCAACAATGTTACTCCCTGCAGTTTGTCTGATTAATGGCTGCACCTCCCACTGGGTTTGTGTAATAGGTGCAAGCAAGGTGTTTAGAAGTACTTTGTGCTTAATTGCTCTAGAGGTCAAAAGCGTGAGACATATACCATGCAGAAATTAATTCTCAGTTTTTAGTAGTTGACTCAATTGAATGCAGGTATAAGCCGTAGCTAGGCATAGTTGTATAGTTGAAGCCAGGAGAGCTTTGCGTTGTACCCTGACATTTGTATGTTTTCCAGATGCAGCTAGTGTGATCTTTACAGGCCTGGTCAACAGTAGTAGTTACCTAAAGCTGGTGTACAGGGGTTAGGAAAAAAAAGCTTCTCAGGAGTTGATGTTTGGGAAAGTAAGAGTTAAAGTTGGGGTGATTACATGGAACGCATGAAAACAATTGCTGTCTGAAAATGGACTAATCAGCCATTTAAGATTTATAAATCAATAGAAGGAACAACATAAATTCATTGGCTTTTATTTTTGTGCTTGCCAGCTGCTCTCATGCCTATAGTTTGTAAAATATAGATTTCTTTCTACTAGCAAATGACACCAAACCATTTGGCAGTCATCAATTTGTCTTTAATATTTTTGTCATTTGGGAATTATTATGAAAAAATTTAGTGAGCTCTGATTTAATTAAGCATTTCCTGTTATGCAATGATAGTGTATTCTTGGATTTCTCACTTGCATAATATTTCCTGTTCTAATTGGCCTTTTGTATTCCATGGAAAAAACAGTTTAGTTTGAGTTTTCATTGATCAACTAGATTGATTATATAGAGATGGCATGCTGGTAACGTTATTTGTTTCATAAAAATGTTGTCAGAAACACCATTGCCTCAACATCTATTAATGTATTTCTCTTTTCAGTTTGCAAGTATACAGTCCATGAGCGCTGTGTCTCAAGAGCTCCTGCATCTTGCATCAAAACATATGTGAAGTCCAAAAAAAATACTGATGTAAGTTTGGGGTAGCATTAACTTTTCCATGTATTTGTTAATTTAGTAACTCCACGTATATCCACACTTTTCTTTTGCAGGTAATGCACCATTTCTGGGTAGAAGGAAATTGTCCAACAAAATGTGATAAGTGTCACAAAACTATAAAATGTTACCAAGGCTTGACGGGACTTCACTGTGTTTGGTGTCAGATCACAGTAAGTATACTATAGCAAAAACTTTAGCACAGGTCAGAGAGACAAAAATCTGCGTATCTTTTTTTATAGCCTCATAATTCAAGAGATCTTATTCAGTTTTGTCATCACGAATGCATAGTGTGTGTTTAAGAAACGGTATTTGCAGAATATTCATAGGAGTCCTTAACTGTTGCAAGCAAATACGCTTAAAGGTGTACTCTGCTTCAAGACAATATACAAATGAAAACAATATACGTCATTCTAAAGAGCAGAATCCCCAATCTACATTACAGAAAGATTATAAAAGAGTTTTCAGTACTGGGGAAAGTCAAGGTCACTGTGACACTAGGGCAAAATCCTAATTTGTGGTGTACTGACAGGCAAATGAAATTGAGGACATCTGGTAGGATACAGTGATTTCAAGTGTCTGGGAATAATAGCAGAGACATCTTGATAATATACTAATCTGTGCACCAAGTCTAATATATACAAC